AGTAGTCGTTTGATCTCATATGACCTAATGTAAGAGCCTGCAATAATGCGGTTTGACCAGTGTGGTGCTGTAGCGCAATACTGCAATTCAGCCCTCCTGGATGTAATTCAAGAGAAGAAGACACAGCGCTTCAGAGCAAACGCAGCCGAACCTGAGGCTGCTGAGCGTCGTTTGGATGGATATGTAAATATTATACTGCGCTTTCCTCTCAATAACAAAATAAACACATCAAAAACTGACAGCGGTGAGAAAGCAGCAGTTTAAAACGCATCTGATTACAGCGATGTGGATGTTTGCACAAGCGCTGCAGTTCAGTACTCCAGTAAAGTCCAGTCACGTCACGTTTATTTATATAGTACTTTATGAAATAGCCTTAAATCAAGCAGCTTTACAGTATTATTAAACATGAAAACCAGAGTCAGTGTCGCTTTCAGTTAGAATTACAACTTGATTTTCTGTTATAATGCAGCTCTCCAGTGTGGAGCTAGCAAATGATAAAATCTTTTTATTAGTGGGGGAAAAAACCATTTCATTAAAGTTGTAGTTTGGTTTGCAGAGATCAAAGCTTGATCTAGCTCAGGACTGTTATGATTATCATTTGATTATAACCCTATAAGGTATTTAAGAGAGATTGTATTGTGAATATTAGTTTATCCAAAAATAAAATGTCTTATCACTTAACCTTTATTTTGTTTCTTATCCATATGACTTACAAAAATATATTTTAGGCAGAATGATGTGTCATTCAGCTACTTTTTCATATAGCTAATTAAATGGTGAATAAGAGAGTTTCTCTGCCATCATTTTGTGCGCCAAATATATTTATTTGTATAAATTAATTGTATAACTGTAATTACATAATGACTTTCAAAAGCTGAAGTGATTACCTTAATGTATTTGTTAGAATATGTATAACTCAATATTTTAACTAATTGCAAAAGCTGAATAATCAATAAATGTCTACTGATTAACCAGCGGAATAATCGACGAGGAGTCGATTAATCGTTCGATTAATCGATTATCGAAATAATCGTTTGTTGCAGCCCTACTTGAGACACAGTAACAAAAGAAGCCCGCATTGCACTTGAGCACTTGTGTGAAGAGATAAACCAGTATAAACGAGTACAGACATTTTTTAATCGCTCATTAGAGAAATAGTGCAGACACTGGATGAGGAAACTTTCTAGTTTTGCATGTGTCAAGTGCCTGTGTTTATGCATGCTATCAAGAGTTTATTTTGAAAGGCTGTATGTTCAGCAGTGCGCATATATGAAAAACAAAGTATACTTTGGTCTTAAAATCCAAATGATCATCATAATTTGTCTTCTCCTCAGATTGACTCGTATGGGAAGTGCCTTAATAACAAACCCCTGCCTGACTATCTGGAGGACACCAGCACAGCCACTGGTGAAGACAGGCGCTTCATGAGTTTCGTCGGTCGTTATAAGTTCCACCTGGCCCTGGAGAACGGCCTGTGTCCCGACTACATGACGGAGAAGCTGTGGCGGCCCATGCACCAGGGCTGTGTGCCCATTTACAGGGGCTCGTCATCGGTGGCCGACTGGCTGCCGAACAATCATTCTGCTATCCTCATTGACGATTTCCCCTCTCCACGGGATCTGGCGGAGTTCATAAAAACTCTGGATCAAGACGACGCGGAGTACTCGCACTATCTGGAGTACAAAACGCCCAGCAAGATCACGAACCTGCGTCTGCTGGAGGGGCTGGAGAGCAGAGAGTGGGGCGTCAACGACATGAGTAAACCAAACTACCTGAACGGGTTTGAGTGTTTTGTGTGCGACAGAGAGAACGAACGTCTGGCAGCAGTGAAAGCGCACAGGAAGAACCCACAACAAAACCTGCTGCCTCAACCAAAGATGGCCAACAGCTCGCACATGGGCTGCCCACTGCCCAGTCCTGGATATGGGCCTGTGGAGAGTATTGACCCAAATGATGGGTAAACAGATTTCAAGTATCACTATTTCATAAATATGTGCATTGCACCCTAAAATGCATCACATTTTAAGTCAAAGGTTTTGTGAATGTTGTTTTAAAGGGGACATCGGATGCTCATTTTCCACAAGTTGATATGATTCTTTAGGGTCTTCATGAAAAGTCTATAACATCCTTTGGTTAAAAATTCTCAATGGTAGTGTAAAACAACACCCTTTTTACCCTGTCAAATATAGTGATCGACCGATATTGATATTTTATAACCGATACCGATACCAATTATTTGCGTGTTTATGTGCCCGATAACCGATATGCAGAACCGATATTTATTTACTGTTATAAAGTATATAAATGACTGAGTGAAGTACGTCTCCCCTCAGACGCGCTGCAATGGCGATCCTGCACGCAATTCTCAAAACATCCACAAGATGGCGGCGTTTATCGGTGAATCCGATATTACAAAACCGATATCCGATAATTGTAAAATGCTTAAATATCGGGAAAAATATCGGTAAATCGAAATATATCGGTCGATCTCTAGTCAAAAACAGCTCTGTTCACAGCAAGCCGTTTCGGTGCATGTCCCTTTAAATGCTAATGAGCTCTGCTGACCCCGCCCCTCTCTTCCGTGGAGTGAAGAGCCAGACTGTTTACTTTAGAACTTGCTAACTAGCACATTATTAGGAAAGGCGATTTGCAAAGATTCATTTAAAAAAAACTAACTTCTGGAGGTGAAGCTGGATCACGAATAATTTGTGCGAACATAAACGCATTTCGGTAGATCGGGGATGCATTCCCTTCAAAAGCAAACGTAATCCTCTGTGTCTTCAGTGGCTCAGATGTCGGGAGTAAATGACAACTGCTATGTTCATTATTACATCCAACAACAGAACACCTCAATCGCTTAGGAGTCATTCTTGTCTACGCCTGCTCTGGCAGCGAAACAATGGCGGACTGTTTGCAGCTCACTTAGGGCGGGTCTGTGCTAAAACGCCAGTGTCAATCAACTATCGTAGGAGGGGCCTGGGTCTGTGTGACATCACACGGACAATAATCTTAGAACGGCTTGATTTGAGAAAGGGGTTATGATTTATGGGGATTAAAAAAAGTACTGGGTGGATTTTTATCATTATAGGGTGGTTGTGTACACACACTGCCAACACACATTTCAGTTCAAACACCATGTAAAAGTGAATTTTGCATCCGATGACTCCTTTAAAGCAAGACATGGAGTAGAGTGAAACTGTGATGTGTGTTTGTTCTCAGCTGGCTCCAGATGTGGCCGCAGGACTACTGGCAGAGTCTGGATCAAGCAGAGGGTTTGGAGTCACTCGTCAGACACAATGTGTCCGATCCGTCGTTATTGTGGCAGCATATACAGAGCATCGCTGTGAGGAGAGCCAGAGGCCGATGAGGGGACGTCACAGATCAAAACTTCCTCTGACAGCTCAAGACAAACAATTTGGCAGTCCACCCAAGCCTCATGAGCCATTTTTACATTCCTGGAGTTTCTAATCAAATAGAAACAATCACAATAATCTTGTTACATTTACATATTTCCCATCAGTATGTTGTATGTCGCATTCATAATGAATGTTCTTGAGCTATATGTTAATCTGCAAGCTTCAGCGGATGTTGAACTTTCACAGCTCACAATCACTCAGGCTTGCTTGCAGCTTGTCACAGAAGATCTCATGGATGGATATCACTGCAGTTATGATGAACAAAGAACAATGGTTTCTTTGCATGAGGGACTTGAAGAGTGAATCTCATGAAAACATATCCAGGTCAAGTTTTAACTACAAAAATCAAAAGGAAAAATGACTGCATAAAGCAAAGCAACGCCCATTTTTGGACCATTAAGATTATAATGTCTGTTTAATGAGAGTTAAGCACATGATACGTACAAAATATGTTGATTATGTGGGAGTTTTTTTTTTTTTTTGGTACAGTATAGCATTTTTTCACATGATGGGAACTAATGGGAATTTGGGTCATGTTGGAGCGAAGGTTGTCATACAGTCACAACTGAAAAATAATGTCAAAAATGTCACAATTTTTGCAAAAATTCATAAATGGGTATACTTTTTCTACAAGCAAAACTGAACTATTCTTTTGATTTTTTTTTTTTGAGTGATTTTTTTTTTCTGGACCCGTTCTTGAGTGGTTCATGAGATTCTTCTATAAGACTCCTGGGACTTGTTTATGTCTTGACCTGTTTAAATGTTTGTGTACCTCAGTATTTCTTATGCGATATTTATATTTTTTATTGCACATTCTTGTAACAAAACAATAAAAGGAGAATTCGACTTGAATTCAATGAGAATTTTGCTTTAATTGTGAATATCGATGCAGGATACGTATTTTCATAACAGTGCTACTAAAACAGAAATATTGCTTTAAAATGGTTTCTCATGATTAAATACAACAAAGATATACATTCTTATTGTCTTCACTAAACATTTAAAGGGACAGAATCGGAGAAAAAAATCCTAGATGCACTGCAACAAGCATTCATAGCACAAGAAAACCTTTTTATGATATTCAGAAGGTATGTCAGCGGTACGATCAGTGAGGAAATATAAAGAGGAAGGTGTTTCGTGCCAGTAACAAGTCTAATTCCTATTCAGATAGGCAGGTTAGCTATACTGTTGAGGGATATTTCAGGCAGTGTAACAGATCTTATAGCACATTGGAATAGCAGCTCTCACAGTGGACCGTCCCACGATGGAGAAACATGTTGTAGAGTAAATCTCCCATTGGTTTACTGCAAATACCACACTGGGGTGGGGGGGAAAAGAAATTCAATACATATTTTCATTAAAGCATATTGTCATATATCATTAAGTACAGCAGTGTAGCATATCACAAACAAGCTAAAATGCATCCAGCATATTGTGCCATACACATTAGAGAGGTCATTTGTGTGAGCGGATATTGTTGCGTACCTTAAAGCAGGATGGGTGACAGGATATGTTCAGGTGCTCAATGGTGATTTTGGCATCATTTCCCACCATTTCTCCACAGTATGTACAGGGAGTCATATCTCCTCTAAAAACACCAAATGAGGTCATTGTTCAGAGACTAAAAAAATTCCCATTTACTCACACTCATCACTGCTTGTGCAGTAAATGATACATAAGCACGCTTTGAACAGTCTATACAATCATATATGATGCACTATGTGGATAAACGTATTGGGACACCCCCTTCTAATGAACAGGTTTTAGTAATGTCCATGAGTACAAATCTTAATGTTTAAGCATATAATGATATTCTAGGGAATTGTGTGCTTCTAATTTTATTGCAACAGTTTGGACAGGACCCTTTTTCTATTCTAACATGACAATGCCTCTGTGTATGAGACAAGGTTCAAAAAGAAATGATTGAGTCAGTGTGGAAGAACTTGACCGGTCTGCAGAAACCCAGCTGAACACCTCTGCTGTGACTTTAAAGGTCCCATATTTTACACCTTTCTGGAGTTTTATTTTAGGTTTTGATGTCCTTTAGAATATATATTTGCGGTATAAGTACCAAAAACCATCTCAATATATTTTTACATCTCTCTCAGGAGCTCTGCTGAGAACAGGTCGATTTTGGTCTGTCTAATTAATATTCATGAGCCTCTCTTCTGACTGGCCTGTTGTTTTCTGAGTGACGCACGGCGGCCCATCGTAGATTCGGCTACATAAGGGGCTTAAAATATCATCTTGTTGTGATGTTGGGTGCCAGAGGTGCCAGAATACAGCCTCAAATTAGAAATTTGATCGCATATCTGCTGCCACTGCCAGACAAAAAAACCGACGACAGCTGTGGTTAAACGCAATAAAACGAGCAGACTGGACAGAAACGATAGTCAAAAATGCTTGCATTTGCAGCGCACACTTCTTATCAGAAAAGGTTCAATAAAGTATTGTCTTTTGTTGTTATGGGCGCGTCTACAGATTTCTTGCCATATGTCTATGTTTCTTGCATCTCACGCATCTCACGAGTATGAAATAATGTCTGTGTGCATGTGTGTGTAAAACAACAAACTGACGATTTATATATAATCATTTGTAATTGTATATACATTGTTGTGATTAACTGTGGCTGGAACAATAATGTAGCTGTAAAAATAGTTGCCTGCTGAAATTGAAATGAATATACATCTTCATCATGACTAGATAGACACGGTGAGTTTGTCTTTACTATACACGTTAGATGTGATCACCTCATAGTAACAATCCTGTCAGATCATCCATCCTTTGAGTGAGAGTGTAACGTTACAGGTCGGCCGATCTGGTTTCGTGGTTAAAGTTAACCTTTTCGACATGTTTCCGCAATGTTGTCTGGGGGTTTGGCAAAAGGAGAGTGGGACGGTGGGCGGTGCTCGGGGTGGTGACTGAAGGCAGTGACTGTGTAGTTCTGACGTCAACTTTTTACGGAAGTCACAACGGTTCGTGAAAAATAGCTAGAACTTTAAGCAGGCTGTGAGAATTTAAGTGAAGTGACTTGACATGTGGCCAAGTATGGTTACCCATACTAGGAATTAGTGCTCTGCATTTAACCC